TTATTACATCCACATGATTAACAATTATTACATCCACATGGACGCAGTTAAATAAAGGACGCGCAAAAATACATTTAACAGGAACAGATTCAGCCTTACTGGAGGATATAATAAATAGTGTAACACGCAGAGCTTTTATTTATAAACAGATAGAATTTTCTGATGACGAGTGGCTCATCAGTCGTTTGGAGAAAAAATCATTTTTAGTTTGGCACTGCTGCGCTCTGGGAGCACGACGCAGCGAGCCACGTGCACCACGTGTGCACGTGCAGCAGCAGTGATTGAACTGAGGTTCCACAGGAGCTTTCCAGAGGGAGCTGGCAGACCCATCAGGACTGTGTCAGTCCAGTCTACCCAAAGCTGAGTCATGACCAATGGAATCATCTCATCCATATGATTCTAAAGGCTGAGTTATTGTCGCGCTCTGGAGCGAGCACCCTCACTGGCAGTGGAGGTGTTTCATACTTGGTGTTTACGTTGTAGATTTATCCAAAATGACATGTGGAAGTACACTTTACAACTTGTGAAAATGCTGTAAGTAGGAGAGCAAAAGCTGGACAAACAGACAGACTGCACACAAAGGCTGCGGTGCGCAGCGTTTGTGGAGACTCTCCAACATCACGTCACGTCACGTGAACTCCACTGAGACGCAGAGACTCGTTTCTTCATATCAGCTATGAAATAAACTAAGATCTATGTTCTACCAAACATTTATGTTCCTCTGTGTTTACAGTAATTATGGTAATAAACTCGTGTGCAAAGTTAATATTTTCAGACTCAGAATGGATGGATGCCGATTGTGCAACACACACACACACACCGACACACAATCACTCGTTCTTTGCGTGATAAACATATTTTATTCCTATTTTTACTTAGGATTTTTTTTCACACTCACATTATATTTAATTCATTATTTTTCTGACATTAGAAATCATTTCTGATCACGCAGGGATCACTCAAACATGTCCTTCACACATGCAGGAAGTAATTAGCATCTGTTTAACATATGTTAATGAAGGCGTGTCAGGGGAGGAGTCTTACCTGTGTTCAGTTCCACATTAATTGTGATGTACAAAAGAAAGGTGTGTGGATTCAGGCGTACGCACGATTTGATACATCTGGATTTTTTTGTGCGTATGCAGTTTTCTGGATTTGACCATACGTCAGGTTTCAGGAAGAAATCCACACAAGTCTTTGTACATGAGGCCCCTGGTGTCTCTGATGTTTACAGCCTTCATTAGTTTAATATTATTTACCTGTTCCTCCATTTGATCATGTCTATCAAGAGCAGCTTCCACTGCATCAAAGAACTCGTCCTCATTCATCAAGCTGTTTGGACCTTCCTGCAAACAACAAACAAACAGTTACATTAATTAAACAACACATTGTGTGTTTGGACCAGTTGTAAAGAAGGAACATAAAATGAGTCTACCTCATAATCAGGACCCCCAAACTGAGACTTCTTCTTCAGATCATTGAGGGTTGATTTATAGCTCTCCTCTATCCTCCGTCTCTTTTCCATCTCCTAACAAACACACAAATCACACATGAGTCCTAACAAACACACAAATCACACATGAGTCCTAACAAACACACAAATCACACATGAGTCCTAACAAACACACAAATCACACACGAGTCCTAACAAACACACAAATCACACACGAGTCCTAACAAACACACAAATCACACACGAGTCCTAACAAACACACAAATCACACGAGTCCTAACAAACACACAAATCACACGAGTCCTAACACACAAATCACACGAGTCCTAACACACAAATCACATAGTCCTAACACACAAATCACACACGAGTCCTCACAAACACACAAATCGCACACGAGTCCTCACAAACACACAAATCACACACACGAGTCCTTACAAACACACAAATCACACACGAGTCCTAATAAACACACAAATCACACACGAGTCCTAATAAACACACAAATCGCACACGAGTCCTAATAAACACACAAATCGCACACGAGTCCTAACAAACACACAAATCGCACACGAGTCCTAACAAACACACAAATCGCACACGAGTCCTAACAAACACACAAATCG